CAGCCCCCTGCCCCTGCCCCCGCACCCGCCCCCGCTCCCTATGTAGTGGTAGAACCCCCGCAGACCCAGAGCAGTGCTGCGACCAACCCCGTAACGCAGATGTTACGCGAGCAAAGGGATCGCATCAAAACAGAAGAGGACACGAGGCCGAAAGAACACGTTCAAGAAAAGGGGACGACGACGAAGCCTAACGGACCCACGTCACTAGGTGAGTGCATCACTGTTTATATATTGTGTAGAATTAAACCATTTTCGACTCTATATACAACGTACCGCGTGGTATTTAAGCACTTTTTTGCCCAACTTTATGTTCCCTTTTTAAATTTTAAATGTTCGTCCGGATATGTATATACGTTTGTCTATAATAGGTACGCTTACATATTTATGTATATGTGTATTCTCGAATATTTCTGTTGGTTGCCATATTTATTAAGACCTGTCTGAGACACGGACAAATGGTGATGTTTTTTCAATTCTAAAATAGCCTTAGAACATTATTCGCAAACCCGGTGCTACTATTTTTGAAGGACGCGTTTGAAGGAGATTTTTTGTATACGTTATGAATAATTGGTGCGGCGGCGGGGTAAGATTGCGTCCCCCACATTGTTTGCGTGATCTTTAGTCCCGAACGTCAATCTTAAGATAGTCGTGCGTTTGAGGAGACGTTTATTTTGTTCATGCGCCCGATATTGTGAATATATTAAAGTGCATTATTTGTGTTGGAAGATTTGAATAATTTTCAAGATGGGGAAACTTAGGAATAATACAAAACGCTTCAGATCACTACTTCACTTGAAGATAAAGGAACTTCAGAGTAACGGTCAACTTTTTTATATTGTTTTTTTTTACCTGACTGACTGAAAAATGTTAATGTTTTTCGCGCATACTTAGGTGTAATATTCTTAATGACTGAACCGATTTTACAAGTGAAGTGTTAGTAAATTCGATATTGCTTTTTCTTGTGTTTGTCCGTAGTCAGGCGGTTTTTTTTTGCTAATAACGAAAGAATGTTACGTTAAGTGAATAATTTTAAAAACTTTAATTTCATGACGCATCCCCAAATCGCGTGGTGTTTTTTTGTTTGTGGAATTGGTATAATTTAGATAGTACGGTTTTTTATTCTATATTAACAAAGCAATTTTTTTAAATGGCACTGATTTGATATGTTGTTTATTACAATTTTATATACAAAATGCAATAATTCATACTTATGTATACTCATGTATACATTGCAAGTGCTCATAAATTCATATTTAGTAAGATTAGCCAGCTGATGATTGAGGTATGTTTCATATTATTATATATGATTATAATACTAAAAGATCTAGCCTAATATTATAATGAGAACTATCTGGTGTCAAACTATACAAAGAGCGACGAGAAGACAAGTACTAGATTACAGATAGCAATGTTATACTATGACTAAAGTTATTTCAAGCAAATTTCAACCTTATAAACATCATGTCAGAGTTGCAAATGATAATGTATTTTATTAAAAGTGATTTTTTGAATGTTGAATATCAATATATACTCATTGGTATTGAATCTTTATTTTTAAATTCAACAAACACCTTGTTTCCTTTACATTGCAATACTACGATTTAATTGAAATCAGTTGGAATGTTACTTATTTATGTTCTCATAAAGATGGTATACTATACAGATAAAGTTCTCTAATGGTAAAAACTTCCTAAACAAATGTTCCCGCATTTTGAGGAATAGTGTCATTCTATTCATATTCCTTCGGGAATGATTAGATGTAATTCTAATAATTAGTTAGTTTTTTTTTTATTAATCAAGTATTATTTGTTACCATGTTATTAATGTTGATATTAAGAAAAGAACATATCTTACCACATCATTATCCTTTACCATGTGGTGATTAGTAGACAACTGTCATACATATATAGGTATTATCTCTTGAGTGAATGAGCCAGGATGGTAACATCATTATGTACAGTGGAAATGCACTATTATAAATGGCTAGTCTAGTAAATAGCATATTGATTGTTTTACATTCCTTACTGTCTGTAAATAAAAGTTATATTTTATCTTTTTCTTTGCATAAATTATATTATTTATTTAGTAAGCGTTATTAATTGTTAAATGTCTTAGTTTATTCCACTATCATCAAATACGTGCAAAAATTGTCACAAATAAGATATAAAATATTGATACAATAAGCAATTAACTGGTAAGAAAGAATTAAATGGTAAAAACAAGTTATAAGTTCGGAATGCAGGGAATGTTAGTACAAGCTACAAGTTGGCGGAAAAAATATGGTGCAAGATTAAAGGAGATTGTAAATTTTTGATAGGTCCAACTCAATGACAAGATTAGATATGAGAGAAATGTCAATCGACAGTGCTGTAACGCGTATTGAAAATTTAATCGATTATCGTACACTTGAAAAATCGATTAATATAATACCATATCGATTAAAACAATACAAGATTAATGTCAATAATATTTGCAGTTGAAATTGTATAACATTTTTATTCCAAGATTTCCACTATGACGTAAATAGGAATCTGGTAATTTATTCATGGTTACATGTCGCTCGTTCAGAGCCGAATGAAAGGTATAACTTTGTATTTCGTATTGACGTGTTCTCGTTTTTTACTTGCAAATAAGCAGTGTCACGGTCACCTATTTGCATGAGATTTCATGGTCTGTCGATATTATACTAATATAATTCACACTCGAAGGAATCGAATAAAATATGACGTATTGAATAATAAGTGCAGTTATGTATTTGTCAAAGTTTTTATTGACACGTACCTGAAAATTTTATATTTTAAAAATAAAAATAGTAATCATACTTGAAGTGGAAAAAGATAAGTGATGTAGTGAGAGGTCCACATAGACTGCAAAACGACTATCAGTAATTTCCGTAACAAAAGCACCACGCAATGTACGCGCAATTAATGTCCTCAGATAAGTTAACACATTAATTTAACAGATTAATCATTAATGTTTTTATTATATAACATTTTAAAATAAATCCTTTACGAGAATAAAAATATTGCACAACATTTTTAAATATGTATTTTCAATTTATCCTCAAAGTAACAAAATAAAATGTTAAATATTTTATTTTAATTTGTTACTTTGAGGATACATTGAAAATATTTATGGTTTCTTTACTCGCACTTAAAATTGAAAATGTAGACGGTATATGTGGTAAACGCTAATGATAACCATAATACGGATTTTCAAAACTTTTCAGTGTTATGATTCAGCGTACGTATGTTAGTATTATAATATTATGAATTGAAGTATTATAATATTCGGATGTATGGATCTATCATATATAGACTAATAATGTTATCAGACCCAGTGAATATAAGTGAAATTAAATTATGAAAGCTCATTAGCGTACCCCTTTCAATTTAAAAAAATAGTCAACATCCTTCTTGATCTGTAAATGTTTTGTAATATTTGAAAGAGTTTTAAAAATGTATCTTCCACATTTTTTGAAAGCAATCGTTTAAGTTGCCTTGGGTACGAAGAGCCTAAGTTAGGAAGGGCAGAACGAATCTGAAAGCAAATTGGGACAGATATAGATTACAGTTTGGAATAGCACATAAACTAAGTCAGAGATTTAATATACACAGCTGGTGGTAATAAATATAAATAAATGTCAATATGACGCTCCGAATACTCGTTCGCAGACAATATCGATTATTTTTGTACTTGCGCACAACACTACTCGTAGGTTATCCACCGCATGGAATGATCCAACATGGCGGATTCGACTTCAGAAATGTTGCGCGTGGCTGCCTAGCTTTTATTATTTAAACAATGATTTTGAATTTTAACATTCATTTTTAAATTTTGACATTTTTAATTAATTTACCAATTATTATAATGTAAATAGATTACTTAATTTAGTACTTAAGTAAAGTGATTCAGTTAAAACGAGTGCTAAAAATCAAAATCCTTGAGTGACCTTTTAAATGTACCGTCTTACCATATTGATACGTGATCGAATCTTGTGTTGAAATTTCCCTTGAATATTAAATATTTGAAGATTGTGGTATAAATGTGTATTAGGAATGGGTACCGAGTGTGTTAAAATCAGGTACGTACAGTGCTAGACGTAACTCCCACGTGGAAATACCTCACTCCTCTATTTATAGACTTCAAACTTGCTTGAGCAAAAGCGACGGACCAGCTAGAGAATTAAAACAAAGATTTACTGTCTAACGTGCGTTGATATTCTTTTTTTTAAAGTAATCGACATCTAGGACAAACTAAAAGAGTACTTAGGTTATATAATTTTGAAGGGTGTAAGAATTTTTGACTATCTACTTTCATTTTAATTGCGTGTACGGACGTGATTTTCCATCAAGTAATTCAAGTAATGTCACGTTTTATTACTTCAACAATCTCCAGATACAGACAGGTTATATTATAAATACATTACCTTGCTGTAGTTGGTGAGATTTTTTTTGTTTTAAGACGTAACTAGGATCTGAGAAAGTCTGCTAAAATTGTCGTGTGGTATTTTTTATTAACATTTATGAAAAGGTATTGCTAAGTTTTTAAGAACTGTATTGATATAGATAAATAAACTTTAATATATTATTAACTTTTAAACTAAGTCTTTAAACTGTAGACTTAAATGTGGAAATTAAACAGATCATATCTTTAGTGTAGGAGGTTAGTTTACTTTTTTACCACATGTACTAGTAAAAGTTATGTTGAGAAGTAAAAAACAACTTCAAATGGTCACTAACTTGTTTGTTGTTACTTTAAGTTACTGAATAACTATGAATTGACTGTATTATAAAAATTGAATAAAATGACACTATTAGTTGTTCAACAAGTTTAATGTACTTTCTTTTTGAGAACAACATACATTATCCCTTTAAATAATTCTTTATTGAAGATGCAAATGTCATTAATAAAATGTAAACCTTACCCTTCTTTAAATATTATTTTTATTTCAGTGCGTTCAGAGCCTATACCTGAAGTTGAACATGAAAGTCAACTACATAAAACGGAAACGAAAGTAGCAAAAATAACAGCTGCAACTCCAAAAGAAATTTATGTAACTGAATCATCAAACAACAACAAACTGCCCACATTACCTGAGTCTGCTGTAACTGCAACAGATCATAACACTGACAATATTGAAAAGTCTGCTATAGAATCAACTGCCAAACCTAGGCTAAGCGAGAACAAAGAAGTCTCCAGTGTAAACAAAGCACAGGCAAAGCTTTCACAAAGCATAGATAAAGCTGTTACTGACAGCATCAAACACAAAATGAAGGATATTAATCTTAATAATGAGATAACAGGTTAGTACCATTTTATTTTTATTTAAATTCTTTTTAAGTAAGAAGTAAATTATAATTTCACTTCATTACCATATCATTGCTTTATAGTAATATGTACTTATGCTGATGAGAACATTGTACTATTTCATACAAATTGTTTAATAATTCCCAAAATAGTTTCTTCTATAAATAAATTAAAAGAAGTGTATGTAATTAGTTAATGATTTTGAAAATGTTATTCTGAACATTAGATTCTGCACCATCAGCAGATGCCAATGACAATGAAGTGACACTGAAGTCAGAAAGTGTTAAAGAAGAGATATACAAAAATGAAAAGGTCACAAATAACCCTAAGGATGATAAGAAATCTTCTAATAACATTAACATAGAAGATTCTAAAGATATTGATGCCAATGATAATGTCGAAAGTGATACAGACAAAGTAAGCATGGATCAAAAACAAGATGCTCCAACCTCAGATGAAGAGTCGAAGACATCAACTGCTGATGATAATGAAAAATCTGCACCTTCTGCTCCAAAACTTAAATACAAATATGACAATGGTAAGTACACTGAGTCTACTGTGGAAAGAATGGAATCTAAATTAAATTATGTAGATAAATTGCAAAAACAATATACTATATTAAGTTATTTATATTTTAGAACCGAGGTTGCCGATCATTGTTTTATTTATATAAACACATTGTTGTAGTTTTAATTGTATATATTAATATGTTAAATTTAATTATCTTGTAGATCAATGGTCACCTTTAAATCAGGCCGGCAAGAAGTGCTATGATATTGGATTATTGATGCAAATTAAAGATGATCCCCTCTCAAAGACTAAGCCAAATGCACCAATGCTAGAAGTGTGCAATATAATAAAGGTGAGTGCATAACTCTAATTCTCTAAACAAGTGTGTGTTTTTTTTTAAATATTACACAATAGTATCATATATATTTTTATTGTTTTTTTATAGCCACATCAAGAGCCGCAGCCCTTCAACCCAATATCCAGACCTATTAATGATTCCTTGTTCCCCAACTTTGCAAAGAACTCAAGTATAGGTTCAAGGAGTAACACACCACGGGATCCTAAGAAGGATGGCAGGAACTTAAGCACCGGTGGTAAATATAACTTTTGTCTATTGCAATAAAAATGTTAAAGTAAAATTACTTGTTCATTAAATTTGAAAATAAAACGTTATTATCCAGGTAAAGGTAGCATGAAGCTAAACGTTTCGCCTAGTGGTAGCACCCATCATAAAGCTGTGATCCGTGTATCACTGACTCGGGAAGATGTAAAGCTTAACCAGTCTAAAGATGCCTGGAAGCCGACCAGACTGAAGGCTGCTAGTCTGAGTGAAGAAGAATTCAAAACACAGGTACATAAAGGGAAAAGTCATAAAATCATCCACAATAACCTTTATCTAATTTTTTCTAAAAATATTAAAAGAGAATAAATATTGTCAGTCTTTGAATTAATAATTTAGGATTTTTTTTTTCAATTACTATAATATTACAAATAAAATAGTAAATACTATTTGAAATTAGTATTTATTAATGAACAGGGCATCAATCAGTCTGTTAAAAATCGTATCTGAAGTAATTTATACATTTTATTCCTTTAGAGCTGTATAAACATTTATTCTATAACTTTATTCCTTATTGTGACCGAGACGGTCAGGGACAAATGGCTCCCCTTCGTCATTTCAAGGTTATGAAATTCAATTCTATTGCATCACCATTGTATGCAATTTGAATTCAAAATGAACCTTTTGTGATTCACTATTTATTATGTTGTAGGAGTTGTATAAGAAATTCAGAGGTATTCTGAACAAACTTACGCCGCAGAAGTTTGACACTCTAATGGAGAAAGTAAAGACATTGGAAATAAACACTCAAAGCCGTTTAGAAGGCGTCATTGATTTGGTATTTGAGAAGGCGATCGATGAGCCCAACTTTTCAGAGGCCTATGCTAATATGTGCAATAAACTTGCATCAATAAAGGTAATTACATATAATATGTTTACATTAAATGTAAACTTTGAATGTAAAATGTAAAATAACATTGTGTTTAATTACACAGGTGCCTGCAGATAATGGCTCCCCGGACAAATATGTTAATTTCCGACTTCTCATCATCAGCAAATGCCAGAATCAGTTTGTTACAGATAAAGTTGATGAGAATGTATTGAAATTGGAGAAAGAAATGAATGATTGCACTGATCCTGTAAGTACATGCTATTTATATTATATAATTTCTTTTTTTCTTATAGTTATTTTCTTAAAGCAACTAATCATGTAATTAATTATTTATAATTATTATTTCAGGTCAAAAAGAAGGAACTTCAAGTGCAAGTAGAAGAAGAAAACAGAAAGTTAAGAATGAGATCAGTTGGAAATGTCAGATTTATTGGTGAGTTATTTTTTTTGTCACTTTATTCATTTTTATATTTTTATTGTTTAGTTCATAAATCTGTACCTTATATAGCCAGCTGTTATTTGTTTGATGTATTTTTTGTACTAGTACTTGATAACATAAAAATTGTTTAATGATTATTCATTTGATGTGTATGCTTTCAGTAGCGAATGCGAATTTTATTTATACAATTACAAGGTCTCATTTAATTTTGAATATCTTTCTAAAATGTATGTTTAATGCATATAGGCAAATGCTTCAGCGAATATTTACTACGCTTTGCCAATCTGTTGTAGCTTATGTATAGTACAGTTGATAACCTGCATCTGAGAATTTGACCCCAGAACTCAACTTTAATGACTCATATAATTATACATATTGTGATATGTTACATAATTAACAAAACAACAATGTGTGCAGCAATACATGTGTCACTGAAAACAAAATTCATAGTAAGGATGGCGTAACTTTTCGTACAGAGTTGTATTTCTAGTTGCCGGGTCTAAATAATGCCAGTAGAATAAGACAGTAGTGCTCAAAATCACTACCGACATACAATTTGTATAATGTAAAAGCTAACTGGCGCCAGTAAACCAAAACATGGCAGGCCAGTGCCCCTGTTTTACTGCACTGGTTTATAAACCAGGCATGACAAGAATATTTATACTGGGTTTGAATTGAATGTTCAGTGTCCAATCAACTCAGAGAAATTTTGTTATCGGTTTGTTTGGCTTGCGAAAGTCTACATTTTGTAGAAATTGTTTGTATCTCTTGCTCTTATAAGCCTAATTTGTATGTTAGACAGTTCTTTAGATTTAAAAACAAATGTGATGTGCGCGCGCGCAAGAACGCGAGATTCTTAATGCATTAGAAATATGTTTTTATAAAATGGAATTTAACATTATTCTATTGTTATTCTCATATATGAAAGCGTCATTGTAAAATACTAGTATTATAGTATATTTTATTTTTATAATGTATCGTTATTTTCAGGTGAGCTGTATAAATTGAAGATGTTGACTGCCAAGATTATGGTTTATTGTATGAATTATCTTGTAGACAAGTTAGAAGAAGAAAAACTTGAATGTCTTTGCAAATTGCTCACCACTATTGGGGAACAGGTATAATTTCAATTTATATATATATAATAAACCCCATACCACCCATCCTTAACTTAGATTGGCTCCAAGACAACATATTTATATAAGCTAATGAAACATATACACATACATACAATATAATAAAAATTAAGTCTCACGGCTACGGCGTGACGATTGAAACAACCAATTGTGTAAGATATTATTAAAACAATGTTCCAATTGTTATAAACAGGTGGAAAACGAAGTCAGAGAACAACTGGAGCTTGTGTTCAAACAAATGCAAGAGATTGTCGACAAGAAATCAAATAAGATAAGCAGTCGTGTGCGATTCATGATCAAAGACGTGATCGAACTGCGCCAACGACGCTGGGTAGTGAAGAGCGTCGTCGACTCTCAGCCCAAGATGATGGACCAGATTCAAAAGGAAGCTGAACAACAACAGAGACATATTGAGGTAACAAACATACAAATGTCTTGCAAAACTACTGATTAATGTTAGCCAAGTCTATTACAAAATTTTCTAAACAATGTAAAAAGACAATAACTGGAGAAGAAAACAAACTGTATGACATAAACTACAATTTATTTATTTTGATAATGTTTTTTGCTGTGCGGTAAAATCCAATGACTAGAGTAATTATGGTCGGATTGTGCTCGCTTCTTTCATAATTTTAATATAGTCACTAGTTTATTGTTAAATTTTAATTATTGTTTAACAGTTGATGAACTCCATTCCGATGGGCGGTGGTTACGGTCGCCGCGAGGACGGCGGTCGCGGCAAACGCGGCGGCGAGGGCCGACGTCAGAATAATAATTCATTTATGGATAATAACTGGAAATCGCCACGAATCAATACCGTTGATATGTCCAAACTCAAAGCTGGTACCCAAAAGGTAGGAAATAAACATTAAATGGAACAAATTCCGATAAATAAAAAATATTTGATAAGTAAAAAAATATAAATAGATGTCACTTTCAAATCTCTGGATGGAACTAATTTTTTTTAAAGCAAATATTAAAGAATTAATAACACTATAGATAGCTAAAATCTTATATATAGTTGTGCAAATTAATTCAATTGAACATGTAATATTAATGAATTTTAATATTACAGAATCTTAGCAATATCAAACTTGCGCCCCAGCATTCTGGATGGAATCATGGCTCGGGTACAAAGAACACTCTGCAGGCCAGCAGTAACTCTATGATTGGAATCACCAAGAACAAATATAGTATGCTTGAGAACTCATCCACTGATCCTACATTGCTTAGAGGTTTGTGTATGAATACATGGAATAATTTAACATATTTAAAAATCGCACAACACAATATCTATTAAAAAAAGGATGGATAAGTAAACAACTAGTCACTATTATGACAAATTTCTAATATCGTATACAAGATTCTGACTCATCATTTTCGATTCATTCTCATCCCTTCTACCATAAATTACATTTTATTATAATTTACGTTTTATTTTTATGATTTTTATTTATTCATCATGAAACGCGTAATGCTTAGTATTAGCAGGTTCGTAAATGTTAAACTCTACATTGACTCTCATATTTGTTATGTTATATATGTTATGGCTATTGTAAAATATTGCGACATTTTATTTCCTGTCTGATCAAGGTTTTCAACTGTATAAAGCAAGATTGAAAGTTTTTATAAGTAATTGTTGACATTAAACTTAAATAATAAAAATTGGATTCACGGTTTGATTGAAAAATTGATTTGATGACCGATAATTCATTTTGTCTTAAATGCATTTCACCCCTAACTTAGGGTAGGCTCCGAGCCCCTTTGTGGGGACGTATAGTGAGCTGATGATGAAATATATTCATTTAAATAAAAATTATTTACATATCTGGTATAAGAAACATATGTAAGAAAAGCAACAATGCATATGAATGCCTATTTCTGAATTTTCATTGCTTTTGTTGAATAGCTGAAGGTATTGTGATGTTACAATGTTAACACGCTTATTGTTTTGTTATCGCGTTTAGCAAATCCTGATTTATCTACGAGCTACACAAAAGGAGCTTCCATTGAGAGGTCAACATTTAACTCCCGAGGTGACTTTAGTAAGTAATACACGTGTTCAAATAAAGCTCGCTACACACCTTTAGTTTTAACTGCACAACTGAAGATGTTAAGCTAGCTTTATGCATATGTTAAAACAATGAAATTGAATAAAATCAAAGTTAATTGTGATTTCATGCACCTATAACAAAAAGGAGTACTAATATGCAGTCACCGAGTAAAAATAATATAGTATCACCATTAAATAAGATATATAAGTCAGAAATAGGCAAATAGTAAAGGTTATTAAAAATAATTACGGGAGAATAGATCTGATAGTAAATCGCAAAGAAAGAAAACTAAAACATCTATAGCTACGGATACTCTAAATGTTTATATCAGATAATTTATATGACAGTGTTTGTTTGAAGTTGTTGCCTCTCATTTATTACAAACATGCATAATTAGGCGTCCACTGTTGTATCATTCTTAAAAAAATATTCTCTGAAGAAACTAAGATACTGTATTTTTATAAAAATCCGTCAAAAATGGACTAAATATAGATACATCATAGCTAAATACTATAACAATTATTAATAATTTTGTATGAAGAAACAGAGTGCGAAAGTACATTTCTATATTTCTGTATATTTCTGAAACATTTTATTGACATTAATAGTCGATTTTAGATTAGCAATTACAACCTCAAAAAAGAGACTATTTTTTATGACAGTGTAGGACCTATTCATGTAAATTGAATTACTTTATTTTTTATTTTTTGGGCTGTATTCATTGTACTTGTACTTGCATACCATTCTGTGACTGTCTATCATTTCATAACACTTCTATTGTACTATTTAAATAGAAAAAAAATAGGAATAATTCCGCGTCCCAACAATATAATACAAATATGTTAGGCAATCATCAACAAAAATATGAAATAAACTTACCATTCTGTGCTGTAATATTATACAGACATGAGCAGCGGCAGTCGTGCCCGACTCGCTCCAGAAGCTGCCCCTCGCCCGGCAGCCAGTACGCCTACCCCGCAGGCGACGGAGCCCCCGCCGGCCGTCGAGCTCGCACAAGAGCCCCTGCCTGAAGAGAAGAAGAAATCCGTCAGGTCCATGGTCGGACTTAGTCTCAACTTTGACAATGATGAGGTTGTCATTGAAATACAACAACGCTTCCCGACCCAATACCATGCGGCACTCGTCACAGAAATCATCAATATCGTACTAGAAAAGTAAGCAGTTCACTTTAATCATGTTCATTTAAATTATTTATGCACACAAAAATAAAAATGTATTTATGGAACATACTCAACACTATAACATAATCATGTACTTATGTTTATAAAACCTTATCACTAAACAATTAACTTTTAATTTATACAGATCAGCAAAGGATATTGACACAGTGGCAAAAACGATTCTCCATATTGTCAACTTGAATGTATTATCTGCGAGCAACTTCCTCGCTGGCATCTCTGAGATATTTGAGTTTGGGCCCGACCTGTACATTGACATACCCATGCTTTATGTCTACCTTAGTAAATTTATGACCCCACTTATTGAAAATAAGGTAAAACAACCATATATACTATAAATAATATAAGTTAATAATATAAAAAACTTAAACAATGCAGTTTGAAATCAATACATTTTAAAAAAAATATGTTATGATAAAGTCCACTTTAAAAATATCAATGTAATTATTAGCTATTGGTAAAACAATTTCCTACTAAATGGTGCAATATTTAAGTGTTTATTATTTTCAGCATGTTACATTTGCTCAAGTATTTAAACTTTGTGAAAAGTCAATAATACCTGCAGAGCATGGTCATTTGATATTAAAAGCTATCATAAATAGCCTCAAGGAGAGCATGGGAGTGTCATTTGTTAAGACCAAATGGCAGGAGTCGGGATTGGAGTTCAAGCAATGGATGAACGAAGATCAAGTAAGTATATTAATATTATAATATTCATTATCACAGTAAATCTGTTTCTTATTCTGAATGAGAATAGCAAAAACATATGGGCTTATTTTGCGAGAGAGCACGACATGGACTCACTCTAGCCAGCCCGAGTTTGGAGTCCGAAGCATCACAACAATTGGCTTGACATTTGAAATTAATTACTTTGTGTACATTACAGGTGCCTAAATGGCTAGAAGATAATAAATTAGAGTATCTTGTAAAGGACATTCCCTCTGAGGAATCAAAGATAATACTGACGCCCGCAGAGGTTGAGAGCAAACTGTTGCAGCTCATGAACGCTGACGAGACATGCGACTGCGTGCGCGGTTGGATACAGGTAAAAAATGATTATTGTATAGATATCAAGTATCTATGAAAATCTTATATCAAAATAAATTACCTATGTAATATATTTACAATTAAATATTTTTTATATTGTTGTGTTTATATAAAATATGTATACATGTGTGTGCGTGTATTGTAGGACAACGTGGGCGCATCACGCGAGGAGGAGTGGGTCACGCGCGCCCTGATGGCCGCTGTGTGCTCTCACGCACTTCTCGGCGGTGAAGGCGCGCGCCGGCTGTCCCGCGAGCGCATGCACAAGTATGCCCCACTGCTGCACGAGCTGGCCGCGCGCAGCGAGCTCGACTGCCTGCTCGCTGTGCAGCGCCTCGTGCATCGCCTCGAGCACCCACAAGGTACGTCTGCACTTCTGAACACTGCTGCACTACAAAGTTGATTACTGTACACTGCGGCACTACATTATACACACCTGCTACACTGTTAGACAATTCTAAACGCACTCCACTGTACCACATGTAACTTAACAATATACATTGTTCTAATTTTATAATTTACAGTTAACAAGCAGCAGATTTTACATTGATTGGACAATTGTGAATTTTACAATATCAGTTCACTTTGTCTCATTCCTTTCAATATATTAAAAAAAGTAATAGCATTTTGGACATAACGAAAATAATTAACTAACATATCTTTACTTAATCAGCGGACAATGCTTAAACCATCCATTGAGATTAAAAATAAACAATCCTTACCATCACTGTAACACATGTCACTTATCAGTTTAAATATTTGGTTAAGTAAATTTTTGAACTTCATCACATTATTGCGGAGACTGTAATCAGTGTAATTTGTAGGATATTTTAGTATCGATCTCTGTGGATGATTCATTAGTAAACAATATTATCTTCTTAGTGAATAATATTGTTGTTATTGAAGAGATGGTTTATTTATGCGTACTATATTAAGATGGATAAATATTGTGTTCATTCCAGGATTGACATTGGACATATTCCAATATCTACATGAGCAATACATCATCTCTGTAGAAGGATTTATTATGTGGGAAACAAGTGAAAAGGAACCAGAGGGCAAAGGTATGATAACATTATGATTACTGCTTACTGTCGTCTCCTTCATTGTTTCTTTGAAAAATGACATTTAAAATATTGACATCTTTTTCATCTTCTTTGACAAAATAAAGACGACGATATGTAATCATATGTAATTAGTGTCACTGCAGTTAAAAGCGACATTTATAACGAATTAGCTTTTTCCCGCGACTTCGTCCGCGTAGAAATAAAAAAACACTTACTTCTTCCACATTATTCTCCACATCATCCTATCCATGCATTGTGGAGGCAGAGTGATTGTATATTGTGAGTGTGTGTAATAGCGGTATGTTTTTGCTTTGGTTGCAGCGGTGATGCTGAAGGCGCTGACGTCTTTCTTCACCAACATCCGGGAGGCGGACAACGAGGACACCTGCAGCGAGGAATGACGACTGCAGCCGCCGCCGCCCCCCGCGCCGGCCTCCCCCACAATTACCTTCTACTATATTTTTTTATACTAAAATACTAACATAGTTTATAAAATATAGTAGAATGTGGCGACGACTGACGGGCGACAGTGCACGCGATGCCTACGCTTGATTGTATGAATGTGTTATGACGTTTTGTTTTAAATAGCAAAGTTTAAAATTATAAAAAATATAGAAAAAAAGATAGATTAAGTGGAGAGTAAGGCATGGTATGGTATAGGAGAGGAAGAGTGATGGTGGGATGATGAGGAGGGATGCGTGCATGTGATTGGGAAGAAATGCGGCCGTGTGCTGTCCCGCGGTCGGAGGCCGCGCCGGAGCCCTGCTGCCACAGATCTACTATTATTATTGTAAAAGAACCGATGCTGTTGCGGATCGGTTACATATAAAACTAATGCTTGATTAGAGAACGGCGTGCGCTCACGCCCCAGGTAAGTACCTTTGTTTACGTGTTTGTTTTTGTAATGTACTATTATAATCCGTTTTTTTTTTCATTTTGTTCCCAAACTAATGAAATTCTCAATTAAGGAAATCAACTACACGTACACGATACAATATGATTTACATTTTTTTTTCTACATTTTATTTTTAACTTATGAAATAAATGTTTTCTTTTTTAATTTTTAGCCAATATTTTACTACTTATTTGTTGCAAATAAATACGATTTAAATATAACAGCTTATGGATGTATGGATTATAGATTGTAATTGTAATGACTTGAATATTATTGTTACATATTCAAATACTGATTGGACTACATATTATATATATTGATTTTATTATTAAATTGTTTGTTTGTACTTTACAAATACTGTTAATTATTATTTATCAAAATTATCGCGAATGATACACACAACATGCAACACTTTCTAAAGTTCTACTAGAGTCTAATTTGATTGAATTTGAAAGATTTTTTTTCATTTGCATAAATTATGTGTTTAAATTAAACGCGCTTAAATCCATGAAATTGATTTGCTAATGTGTACTTCGCGTAAATTTCAAATACTTTGCATATATAAAAAATTTAAATTTTATAGATAATCAAACATAAATTGTGACACTTTTGAAACAGATTAAAATAATTTGGGATTTATATTTCAATTATCATCGACTATTGTAAACTATATCTTATTTTATATATATATGGCTATAGCTTTATGATTAAACCTATTTTTATCAGTTACTATGTATGTTATGTAAATAAACTTTTTTGAAGAAAGTCAATGTTTTATTTACGACCCTTCATTACATAAGAATGTAATAAAAACATATTCCTTAAATCTATTGATAGAATAAATGAAGTTGAATCTGGACAAACGATAGTTTAAGGTTACCAGAGAATATTGTCCAGGCTTAACTACATTTGTGCACCTATTGGATATGGTAGAAATATCCAATGACAAAATTTAATTAATTCATAAATGTGTACATAAGACGCATCAAAGGTATATACGATTAATTTGAATATTTACACCGAATTAGAATAAGTCGTTAAGTTATACACAAGACAAGAAAACTTGGCGATTTTAGGCGCTGAGCGACATACACAATACTATGTCAGAGTTTTTTCATATGAAAAAAGGTTTTGCTTATTAAATTAATTGTAAAACAAAAATTGGGATCATTTTTCCAAAGTTGCTATGTTTCGCCGCGAGATGGCATTAAATACAATATTGCTGTAAATAAATTTTTTTATAGAAAAGTTATAAAAAAAAACAAATGTCTTACGCCTTTTATTTAAAGAATAACCGAAAAGTTAATATACTATATGGACAAGATTTACCGAACACTAAAAAACCTATATAATTTCCACGACTCATTCCACCAATATGCATATGTTATCATCTTGAGTCCTCTAGCTACTACATAAAGTAAATTTTATGCTTAATGAATCCTTAACATACTTGCAAATCGAGGACACCCTAGACCTTTTACCGAGTTTATAATTCATAACGAAAGTGAGTGTCAGTACGTCAGTTAAATGAAAAAAAAATTGTAAGAAACAATGTCATGTTTTTCAAAACTTATGAAAATTAGTAGTATATACATAGCTATATTTTGTGTCCCATGTTCGACATAACACAGTATGCACTATTACTCCATAAATCTCTATAAACTGACGTATCAGAATTAACTACCTACGCATCTTCTCTTAAACAATTTATCTTATTCCAGACCCGAATAAAAATTTCATAGAAATCGAACAAAATCCGCGATTCACCCCTGTCGGGTTTAATAATGCCAATAACGTACATGTTGCGTCTAGCAAGTTTTTTTTTTGCACGGAAATTTTTTTTGATCACTCAATTAAAGGATGACTCATTGTCTGCTGTAACACAGCATCTGTCTACATTTATCGATTTAATATTTTCTGATAGTTTGATTTGATATCCATTGCTATTTAAAAATAAAAGGCGATATGAGCTAAATAATATATTAAATTAGGGATTGTCCATTAATCAAAAAAGGCTCGTGGGGTGGTAGTTTCAAAAAAAATCACACGACATCACGAGGCTATAATAAGACATCACGTGTCTTAATTTTCTTAGTAATTGCGTAATATTATGAAAATTTCAATATTTCTTTGTAATAATACAAGTGAATATAGGTTTTGGTAAATAGTGGTGGTGGTAGTCTAAAACCTCAAGAGTGGCGAGATGAGGGTTTAAATATGTTAAAAACATAACGTAATTAATGGATGACCCCTAACGATGCACCCATATGTTGCGACGTATATGTATGTAAACATATTTTAAATCGTATTCTAATCTGTGAAGAGTAAAGATTTATAGCAAAAGAAGATAACTATAGCTTTTAAGTGAAGCATGATGTTGTACACTAAGTCCACTAACTATTGGCAATCATTATATTATGATTAATGTAAATAAAGGTTTAGACAATCTGGCCTACCTTATGGTAGACATAATAAGCCACTCGCGTCTGCAATTTCACAAAACTATGACGGACAATAAGTTGTCATGCTAATAGAAGATTCAAACTGACATATGATGGGACAACTTGCAATACGCGAGGCCAGACATCGCCAGCGAGTCCCGCACGTCCGTCCCGGCCACGTGCCGGCTTATACTGAATTTTTAATGATTGCATAAATGCCTGTTGCTCACAAACAAGCTCCCTGTATAATTTATACACATGTATGTTACATGTGGTGGCTTCTCTAAATATGTGCGTAAATTGATTTTATTCCAGTGCTTACTGTTTCTATGTTAAAATCACACCATATAAATATTACTATACATTACAATGCGACAGACTCTGTCTATCTCGCTTTCACGCCAAAACTACTGAACCGATTTAAATAAAATTTCGTACACAGATATTATAATATCTGTGTACGAAATTTCTGTGTGTGTGGTGTGTGTGTGTTTATAATAATAAGCTCTATAGAGCTTGAGACACGATATACTGGTTAATAGCAAAAAAGTTGTAATGGGTTAAAAGTTTTCGTTAATATTTTAGGGTGTTAATTTGCTATAAATAAATTTGACATTCAAAGTTCGTAAAAGTTTATCTCAAGGGTTCAAAAGAAGAGAGAATGGGGAACTACTGCATTACAGCATACTTTTTTCTCGAAATATTTAAGTACATTTTTGAACGCGAGTAATAAGGTATTAAGTAAGAAATACTTATTCAAGTATATAACTTTATTAGTATCAAGAATCAAGTCATGGACCCTTTTAACATTAGGTGACACTCATTTACCACCTTCGGAATAAAATAATAGTAACCACTCATTCACTAATACCAGGACTTGTCCTATGTACCTATCTTAATAAACACGCGTTTGTTGGAAAAACATTGCTAAGTTTATAGGATTGAACGATTTATAATAAATAAGATATATATTAAATGCATAATAAATAAACATTATCACTTGTCAGTACATTGAATAGAAATAAATTTTAATTAATAAAAGTCCATTCACTTGCAGACATCATGGCTGCTACGAAATGATGATATCGTAGACGTGTTCTACGCCGTAGCACAACATGATACGGAAGCATTTTATGCGTATTATTCAGTAAATGGAATGATGTTTAACCGTGGATTTCTGAGTCTAAAATCTCCGTTTATATCATATTGTCATGTCTGTGTGGTCGAAGATAATGATAGGGATGACGATATATTTTTATAGAGCTTTCGGATTGAGAAACCTACGGTTGAACAGGCAAAGAAAATCTCCAATATACATCAATTAATTTATAAAATGAAATTTTGTCTGAGTGACGGTAGTTCAAACAAAGAAATGGAGCTCTGTGGTCACAGACTACTAAAATTATTTTAAGGGACTAATTAAATATCTACGTATAAAAAGCCGCGTGTTTTTCTGTTACAATTTTATCTAGACCCATAAAAAAGTTGTTTACAAGAGGACAAAGAAGCTTAGAAATAACGTATTTGGTTGCGTCATGACGTCGTTGGAAATAATATTTCTATTGTAGGAAAAATTTGAAACTATCTATCATATTTAGGGATATATATAATGTAGGTGTATAAATTTATTAATTTGATTAAAAAAAAGAAACACAAAATTAATAAACTTTTTAAACACCTGTTTGTTCTCCCTAAAGTTTGTTTGTGTGCATAAAGGGGCGTTTCATGTAGCGTACAGGAGCTTTCTGTTCTTGTGTGCGCAGCAAGTACACACTGTTCGATTTAAAGCGCGCGCATTCGAACCGCCGTTCTAATAACTATGCAGTCCTATACAACCTCATGCTACGCTTGATAATCCGAATTCTGGAAGTGTATATCTTGTAATAGGCTGTAGCAGGCATCGCAGGAAATGTGCGTTTTAAAACTTGAAGCTTTTATCCCTAGAAAGCACATGACTAAGGAGCGAGCTTTTAAACTCCTAGTGCGTAGTACAACTTAGGAGGCGTGGTCATTGTGACGGACAAAAATTGGGGGCAAAGAACACACGAACAATAATGTCAGAAAAAATAATATTATTACAATTTATAAAATAACAACAAATTCTTTCCAATTTTACTATGTAAATCATTAAAAATGTGTAAGGAAAAAGTTAATACTTAATTCTAGTTCAATAATCTAGTTGCTACAATTCAAATTTTGTTGTTTTAATTTCTAGTACGAATAAATATAAAGAATACACCCAATTATTTTACGACAACTTAACGTTGACAAGCTACGCGACAATAGTAAATAGCGCTCGTAGTAAAATGTAGCTGCTACGTAGTGCTACGGATATTGAATCGTAGCAGTGACGCGTTAATTTACATTAACTGGCCATCTTTTTATTCGATTAAGGATGATTGTTAAATTTCTCTTCGTTCCAATCGTCCACTATGGAGGGGAGAGGTGAAAGGGTTCTGGCAGCTTCCGTTTCCTAAATGAAGACATTAATAATAATTCCAGAAAAACTGGCTCCTAACTGACACCACGCACACATATATTCCTGGCCAGTTTACGTGACAAATATTAACGTTTATGTGCAATAAAACAGTAAATATATTTTATTTGCGGGCAATTATCGTCCCGTGTGTTCTCTTGGGGGCGGGAGAGTTGCCTGAATCACGCTATCAACATTTTCTCAACGTTTAGTATATAAGAAACCCGCACTTGTACTATCAGTGGGGGTCCGTGTCTACACAGAGAGCTAGTTGAGGGCAGCTTGGGTGCGGGCGCCGCCAGTGTCCGGGAGGCGACGCGGCTCACCTGACTGTCACTCTTCAGGAGAGGATTAGACGGTCCTATTTCCCGTGAATGAGTAACTTCATTCCGAGAGGATGGAATTGGAATTGTTCCATACCTCAACACCGCTGCTGTAGACGCTTCGACCCCTTTTTGTTCATTTTAATGTAAAATATATTTTAATTTTGCTTTAAAAATATTTTGTACTTTATACAATATGTTACGTTTAATAAATATCATCCTATAAAATTGTATTATACTTGCGAACTTAACTGTAGCAAAAAATTGGTACGTTTCAATTTTATGCATTTTCATTTCCTCTCTTATATTAACATTATTATCTTACTTATAAATAAGTAATTTTCTTGGCAAAATGAAAGTTTAGCAAACGACATTTTATCTCCCTAAAATTT